GAAAAACAGTAAATATGGAACTAGAGGACAAAGTTATTAAAGACACGCAACATTTAAATCTCATTTGTGTGTCAACAACACAGATATTATGCTCTGACGATCCCCAACTTGGAAAGGGAATGAAAGAAATTGTGTTTTGGAAAGAAAGCTTACTCCCATGGATATTTGAAAAAGATGTCAGCGTTTAAGTTAATCAATATCTGTTCCTAGTGGGCTTTACTTTGAGAAGTGATGGCCCCTTTCTGGGGAAGAAGGATAATTCTTCATACTGACATTCCATTCCATTTACTGCACGATGTAAACAAATGCCTCCATTAAATGAATTCCATGGCCAGTTAATATCCAAAGCAGCCCTTCTCTATTGTAGCCACTTATTCACCATCCAGTAGGAGCAGCTAGATTCTAAAAATAAATCTGAGAGAATACATGGGTCACTATGTTCAAGCTGTTAATTTCCAGGTTTTCCAGGGCTGTGTCTTACCATTCTGTGTGCTCACGGAGTGTAAACTAAGGATGCAGAAAGAGGGTGCCAGACTACAGCTGAATGAAGCACAAGAGAAATGTGGTTATATTATCTGGATATGCTAATTATTTCACTTACTTAAATTTTAGTAACCATTTTAAGAGATAACTATGTGTGACAAAATACAAGGTACAGTATAGAGTTGAAGCATCTGATGGTTCAGTGGGAAGAGTTCTGGCCTCTGGTTCTTTCCCTCCTCCTGCTCTATGGTATCAGATAAATTACTTCAGTAACGTTCAGCTCTGGGCCTTAACTTCCCATTTGGTTTCCTTATCTGAAAATGACAGTCATTGTGATGAGGATCAGGCAAAAATCAGGGAGTCTACAAAAATGGTTTTCATAGTATAAAGTGATACAGAGGTCAGGATATTTCTGGGATAGCTTGAAAAAATGTATCTACAAGGGATCCCCAACCTGAAGAGTTAAAGTTGAAAACTTCATGGATAAATACCCGACCTGAGTTATCTGGACTTACTGCTTCGCGTTCTTATTTTACCTCTGTAGACACAGCCCTAGAGTTCAGTAAAATGTGAAAAAGTTAACTAGGTACTCTAGTTTATGAGATTCTATTAAATTTTTCACTGATTTATTACATGCTTATTATAGAAGCTTCCCACAGCTCAGAATGGTATAAAGAAAAATTACTTTCCTTCCACTGCTGCTTGCTTTCTCCTGCCTCTGCCCCATGTACACACAGGCACACGCACATGCACACATGCACACACACACATGCACACGCACACACGGCTCCCAATTTCCACTCTCCACATAACTTTTATAGACAGTTTCTTGTAAAAATCAAATACTTCAAAAATGGAAAACACTGTAAGACAATTTATAGATTTAAAAATATAATAAATTAAAGAAAAATCTAGAATTATTCCATGCCACTCAGGGTTGGTGAAATCTCCAATTTCCTTGGAACAACGAAATGACCAATTGCTGGGTGAGGGAATTGAAATAATAACCCTGTAAGCAAACTGCCCAGAGCGTGTGGCTAGAGAGGGCCTACAGCAAAGATGGAATAAAGCCTTCAAGGAGCAGCACCTCCTCCCCACGGCCAACAACTTGACGACGTTCTTCAACATGTTTTAATGATTATCATACCTTCCTCTTCACAAAGAATTGATTTATTATGGTTTAAATGTAAAGAATACTGGTTTCCCAGTTTTGAATCAGGCTTGGATTACAGAACACATAAAATCAATGACTTTGTTCTAGGCAAGAAAAAACACAGCGTTCATTTAAGTGCAAAAGAAACAATCCTGGGGGGAAATTCATCTTACAGTTCTCTATGCTAACTGCTTCCACCACCAGTTCACCACCTCTGCGCCTCCCCTTGTCCCTGTCATCAGCATTGGTGCAACGGACACGTCTATGGCACCTTAAAACTCACAAACAACTTCACATCTATTTATGTTAATCCTCAAAACAATTTTGTCGGGATGAAAAAACAATCTTAGTTTCTTAATGTGCAGATAAAAACAAACACTGAAGCTGAGAATAGGGAGTTGATTGGCCCAAGACCATTCGTCCTGTAATGAATGGATACACTGATCATCTTCAACTCAGGTAAACTGATGATCTTCAGCTCAGACCTCTCCGCTCAAGCTCCAGGACCCACAATCAATACTCAACATCTGCACTTTGGAGTTCCAAATGTGGTTAAACTCAGTTTCCAGGCTAAGCCCATAATATTCTCCCATAAACTTTTTTTTTTTTCTCATTCAAAGGTTTTCTTTCTCAGTAACTGACACCATTATCCGTTCAGTTTTTCAAGCCAAAAACCTAGGCATCCCTCCTAACCACCACCCTGTTCTCAACATACACATAGACTTCATCACCACATCATATAGATTCTGTCTTCTGAAGATGTCTCACATCTGTCCACTTCCTATTGTTTCCACCATGAACACTGTGGTCCAATTCCCCAGCATCACACATTAAAATAATTTCTTTGTTACATGCTGCCTTTCCCTCAGCACCCCCACTCCACTCATTTTCCACGCTGCAGCCAGAGTCATCAGGTAATCCCTCTGCTTAAAATCTTTTGTTGGCTTCGGATAAAGAAGAGAATCCTTAGTGTGGACTATAAGGGCCAGTATGATCTCATCACTGTGAACTGAAAAGATAAATGAGCTCTTTCCATAGTTTCAGAATACCATGATGTCGTTTTAAAAAAATGAATATTTAAGCTTCCATGTTTTTAATAATGCACATTTAATAAGTTAAGTGCATTGATTAACTGTAGAATGAAGTTTGCACGTGTGGCTATTTCTAAGCATTAGTAACACATGATCTTTCTGAATTTCTTTCTTGTTTTTCTTTTTATTAATTTCAGAGAGAGAGGAAGGGAGAGGGAGAGGGAGATAGAAACATCAATGAAAGAGAACATTGATTGGCCACCTCCTGCATGCCCCCACTGGGGATCTGGCCCACAACCTGGGCATGTGCCCTGACTGGGAGCAGGTGACCTCTTTGTGCATGGGTCAACACTCAACCACTGAGCCACACCAGCCAGCCTGAATTTCCTTCTTAAATGTAACCAAATTCATTATATTGTAACATATGCATTAATATATATGGACAAAGATATGTAGTGAAATGTACAGGGTGGGGCAAAAATAAATTTACAGTTATATGTGAAACAGTTTATTCTTGTATTTTTATTTATTAATTATTGTATTATTTTTATATGAACAGTAAACCTACTTTGGCCCCATTCTGTATAAAATTTATATATGTAAATAATTTTCATAATTCATTTCATTTGTATAATTTCTATCTATCTCAAGTCTTTGGATAGCTGGAGAAAGGGAGGCCCAGACACTTCCCCCATGTCACATGGTTTCATCTCAGCCTAAAAGACAGGGGCAGCTTCATGGGTGTATGACTTGAGTAGTCACCAGGGGCTACTCTTCAGAGAGCCCCAGGCTTGGTTTATTGCTTTACCATTGCTGTCTTGAAATTCTTACTTTTTGTACAACGGCCTCACAGTTTGTTTTTTCCCTGGGCCTCACATCGTTTAACCCATTCCAGCTAAAAAGAATCTTAAATATCAAGAGTTGAAGTCTTTCATGTCATCTAGGACCCGAGTGTTCATTGCACTGTATTTCTGTATTTCAGGAACTCGACAGGAGAAGAGCTGAGGACCACCAGAGTCAGAACTGTCAGTCAGTGGGAGGATCTCTATATTGTGGCCAATCATAGATTTCAAACAAACAAAACATAAGCTTTTACTCAATGAATGAAATTTCCAAGTACAGTGAAACCTGGTTAACAACTCTGGCTCTGAGTGAGGTAATGCCAACAGGTGGTTAACGCAGAACATGCCTTTGATTCAGCTGTTCTCATACTTGCCGTAAGTCTTGGCCTAGAACGTTGGGAGTAGCTGGGCAAAGATAGGTATAAATAATGTTACTAAAGAGTCTGGCGATAGCTACATTAGAAGTATTTTTATAAGTTATAAAAAGTCCTGCAACACTTTTGTACTAGGCAAAATGAAAAACTGAGCCCCTCTGGGAAGCTTCCTGCACGTGAAAAATGTCTCCCCAACTGCTTCCAGGATCGCAATTTTCATTGCAAGCAAGCGCTGTGATGGTGGGGAAAATTATGAGCCAAAGCTCACAGATGCTCATTTTAAAGCATGTCATGTGCTACTTTTATCTTCTGGAACTTGAAAGGCTGCTGGCATCTGTAAGGTACCATTTAAAAAATAATAATGATTATTATTAATCTGCTGCAAAAACAAATTGAGCTTGCCTTAATTAGGCGAATTTAAAAATCAATACCTAGGTAAGGTTTCAATTTTAGGCCAACAATTTTTCTCATGATCTCAGAATTTATTTAGAACATAAAATTAAAAAAATGTTTTTCTTTATTGATTTTAGAGAGAAAGGAAGGAAGATGAAGAGAGAGATAGAAACACTGATGAGAGAGAACATCGATTGGCCACCTCCTGCATGCCCCTCACTGGGGATCAGGCCCACAACCTGGGCACGTGCCCTGACCAGGAACTGAACCAGCAGTTCTTGGTGCATGGGTAAATGCTTAACCAGTGAGGCACACCGGCCAGACTAGAACACAAAAATTTAAACTTTCTGAGACAGTTATGCTTTTGAGATAAACATTAAGTAATAACATAGTTTCTAGAAATTTCCATTAGTGATAAATGGGAAGCATTCAGGTGTAATGGTACATTCAGGTACAATGTAACTGGTGGCAGAGTTGGGTTTAAGTCTCTGCTTTGCTATTTACTATGTGATCCTGGAAAAATGACTTGATCTCCCTACGTCTCATTTTCTCAATTTAAAACAGGATAACAACACTGAATAAATGAGGCTGATGTGGGGATCAAATGACATAACTGATGTCAGTGTTCAGCACAGTAACTGGGACATGATAAACACTCTACCTATGTAGCTAGCATCATTGATAAGGTTTTCCCTCCAGGATTTTAAATCTATTAAGTAGTTACCTTATTGACAGGAATAATGTTTTTGACATTGTAGTAGAAGCCAAAATAAACCATGTTGAAAACTCCATGACGTCCCAAAGTTGCTGTAAATCCTTTGTTGAGGCCCTGGAGTCCCAAGCCTTCCGTCTTAATGATGTGTCTTGCATAGCTCATAGTGGATGGTTGCTGCGGGAGAGAGGCAGAGCCAGAAAGATCATCTTTGGGAATGTGAAACAGAGTAAATTACTATTTAGCTACCCTTCAAGCCAGAATTATTAGGGACTTCTTTTCCCAAACATGAACAATTAGGCCTAAATTCATGCTTTTAAAATTAGGAAACACGAAAAGTAAACAAAATTGCACGCATAACAACAGGCCTTAAAGGGGAGATTGTTGGCAAAGAGAAACATCTTTGGTGGAATTAGTGGAACTAATGTCATGTAATAACTACCACTGCTTTCAACATGTTAATAGTTGTATCCAATTCCGGATTATCCACCCTAATGAAGGGGATTAGCCATATGGATACACTGGTAATCCGTAACTGTGTATAATCCAAAAGGAATTCATATTTAGTTCCTGAATTCAGTGTATTTATCGTTCTAATTCTGTTTTCTAAAGAGAATGTTACATTGCCTCAACAGTTTACCAGGCGCTAGGCTAGAAATCGCGCATGGATAAGGGACGGCTGATTGTTGACTTCCTCACGAGGGCAGGCAATCAGTGTGCGTATGACTTGCTGTGATAAATGATAAATCAGTGGTGTTGGGAGTACTGGGTTACCTTTCATTTACTCCTTTCCAGTCCTCTGATTGATTACCCGAGGTTGAAATACCTTGACTGCTGGAATCCAGTCGACTGCTCTTTCTGGAACACGCTCAGGAGCTCACTGTAGATTTGCCCTGAGGTTTAGAGTTCATTACAACTCATGTGGGTTTTTTTAAAAAGGTTGTTTCCTTTTTGGAGGTATAGTACAAAGGCTATCTCTTGTTGTTAAATGTTCAGTAGTAAGGAGAAAGAAATATTCAGTATTTATTTATGTATTTTGCCCACAAGGCAAGCTGCTGGGGTGGGCACGCAGGCCGACGTGCTTTCTGACCGAAGTGTTTTCTTATCGTGTGCAATTAAAGCTGCATCAGCAGAGCAGAAGAGAATAGGTCCAATCAAGGACTTCATCTAACTTGTATTTATAGCTATGTCATTAACGTGATCCATTGAACGAGCTTGTTTATGTAGTAAATCCTACCGTTTCTGCTCATAAATGTTTTTAAAACTCTAGCTACAATTCTACACTCAACTTCATCCTTTCATTTTAGAGGATTAATTATAATAAGTTATATTGAGCTTCAGGAAAGCTTTTTTGTAACATCACAGGAGAAAGTATCTTAAAACAACAAAAGACGTTTCATATAGGAGAACCACAAATTCTCAGAAGGTTAGCATTTACTCGTTTTGCAAAATGGGACTTTTTTTTTATTGTGTTCTGGCACACTGACTATCTATCCAAATTGTTTATTTTGGTTTTCAAATAGACTTGAGGACAAGTTGAGCAGAAGTTCATTTCTCTTGGACAGACTCTAGAAGTGCTGAGCAAATTGCTAGACTCTGCTGTCTTGCTCTGGGGACAGCGCCTCTCCTGGGCATGGAAGGAACAGGGCAGAAGTGAGGTCGCCTGGGTCTAGCGGTGCTCTCTGAATCTAGCCCAAGCTTTCTCTCCGCCCTCACCCACTCTGAGACCTCAAGGTTCAGGAAGATGAGAACTCAGAGGCCATCTAGATTCTAGAGCAACAGAGGAAGCAACAGCTTTGAATGAAAGTGCAGATGAACATAGCTTTCTTTAACATATCTAAAGATATTTCTAAGATTTAAAACTCCTAGTCTACTAAATGATCAGAATGAAAGGAGAAGACTTCTACTAGATCTTGGGAAGATGAATAAATATTCAAGTGACATTTACTGATGGTCTATTGTCTGATTTTCACTGGCTTGGGTATGAAGTGGGTACAAAGAAGTACATGGAGCACATGGATTTTGAACTCTAATGCCTTGTTGAGTCTGAACTCTAGTTATGAATCATTAAGTAAATCAAAGGGTAGTATAGGAGCTAGAAGTAGGGGGTTGGAGCCAGACAGCTCCAGGTCTGAGTCTCGGCAGTACCACTTGCTAGCTCGGGCAATTATTGTATCCTCTGATTTATCCTCACTTTACTCATCTGTGAAATAAGGATAATAATACAATCTTCTTCATACAATTGTTGTGATAAGTCAATGAACTCTGTCCTATGTAAGAATTCACTCTGCCAGCTGCTAATAATAATAGCAATTATGCTTATTTTGAAAGTACTTATAATACTATTTAAATAACAGCTAGGCAATGACAATCAAAAGGTGGAGGCTGATTCAAAGGAGAGAAGAACATGAATAACTAGCCTCTTCCTTCTCATTCCTTCTGACTATTCTTCCCCTTTTCCAGAGCCCAGGACCCTTGTGACAAACTCCAAAAGAAATGCATCCAGAATGCAAATCATAGGTCTGCTTTCTCTGAGGCTCAAGCAAATCCAACCCCTGGGCTAGAGATCTTCCTCAGTTAGTTCCTTACCCCAGAGGCTTTCCTTTTTGGAGCATCAGATCCCGTCAATTGGCCTCTTCTCTCTCTCTCAGATTGAATTGCCATTTGACCCAGTGATCCCACTTCTAGGAATATACCCTAAGAAGCCTGAAACACCAATCAGAAAGAATATATGTTCCAATGTTCATTGCAGCACTATTTACAATAGCTAAGATCTGGAAACAGCCCAAATGTCCATCAGTAGACGAATGGATAAAAAAGCTTTGGTACATAAACACACAATGGAGTACTATGCAGCTGTAAGAAAGAAAGAAAGATCTCTTATCCTTTGAGGCTACATGGAGTGACCTGGAGAGTATTATCCTAAGTGAAACAAGCCAAGCAGAGAAAGACAAATATTATATGATCTCACTTATCTGTGAAATACATTGAACATAACAGTCTGAAGAACAGGGTAGACCCAGAGACGTGGAAGTAGGGTACAGACTGACAATCCCCAGAAGAGGGGGTGGGAAGGAGGGATAAACCACAGAACTTATATGCATGCACGCATAACCAATGGACATGGACAACAAAGCTGGGAACAGGGCATGGAGCTAGTGGGAGGAAGGTGTCAATGGGGGAAAAAGGAGAAATATCTGTAACAAAAAAAACAAAAAAAGAATCATCCCTAAGAACTCTCGTTTGGTAAATTTATAGACTATAGAAGCAAGAGAAAAGGACAGAAATGGAAAAATACAAAAACTGGGCCTCCACCTCACACAGTTTACAGCCTAGAGAGCACGTTCGTGTGTCTTACTAGGTACCTGAAACACAGCAAGTGCTCATCAATATTATCCATTATCATAGATTCATATATATATGTATGTATATCATCTTATTTAATCCTCTCAACAAGTGTGTGAGATAGGCATTACCATTACCCCCATCTGACAGATGAGGAAACTCAGGTTAAGCTCCTGGCCAAAGACCACAGAGTGAGTGGTTAGTGTCAAGTGCAAACTGAGCAGCCCCCCACCCCAAGTTCATACTTTATACTCTGCACGGTTCCGCCATCCTAGCGTACATGATTGCTTCCCTCAAAAACCCTGTGAGGTGAGCAGCAGGTATAGTCTCCTCATTTTGCAGGTGAGGAAACCAAGGTTGTCAATCGTATTCCTAAAGTGAAAACACTGGTAAATGGCTTAACCAGAATTCTGCTTCTAATCCAATACTGGTCACATTCTGTCGACTCATTCTTATTATACATACATAGCAGTGAGATTTTCAGAGTTTGATCATCTAACTCATACCGGTAACAGACACATAATAACACAAACACATTTTCTGGCAACTTGGGGCCTTGAGATTAAGGAAAACCTAAACTCTAATTCCCATAAAAATTAGAAGTGTGCTTTTTGCTTCATTCAGCGACGTTACATCACATATATGTAAGCAAATACTTCATTAGAAAGGCAAAACATGACTTCCACGAGGATGCTTAAATAGGAAAATACAGAACCATTTTGACTAGATCTCTGTAAACACAAGGAATTTTACTAAACTTATTTGATTACTGGGCTTCCATTGCAAAACCAAATGGTGACTGATTAGCATCGTCAGCCAATTGATTCCAATACTATCCAACCCAGCGGGTCACCCGCAGCTTGGTTTCCTTCCAATGTTTAGATTCACTCCAACTTTCATATTTAGTTACTAATTGTGGGCCAAATGGCATTCTAACTTTCCTAGATGTACCTTTGATTGACTGCACCAGCAGCTGCAATCCTGGAAGAACAGTGGAATGGAATGTGGCTAATACTGAGATACTGCACTGCTTTCCACGTTGGTTTCTAGAAAATGTAGTTCTCTGGTCCCTGCCAGAAGAATTTCCATTCAAAAGAACTCCAAGTCTTCGATAGCTTTGATTTCTGCTCTTGCCAGCTGCTAACTCTGGGAACTCCCTGTTCCTTCATGCATCATTTATTCAACAATGGTTACTGAGTGCCTCCTCGGTGTCATGCACTGTGCTAAGTGTCTAGTACAGGACTTTGCTCATATTTTAGGAAATGTTTTTGCTTTGATTTTTATTTGGAGAGATATGCTGACAATGTTTGTTTCCACCCCTGAGAATATTCCATGATAATTACAAAATAGGGAATTAAATTTCTGTTTTAAAAGTCCTTAAGTAGTTTAATGGAAAGAGAAGCTCCTTTGCCCATACGATACTTCCAGGCACCCCTCTGGGGCACTGGTTCCTTACTCTCTGGGAGCCCAGTGTTAGCGACAAGTCACTGAGAATACTTATGGCAGCCTCAACTATTTTATCTGGAGTTCGTCCATCCAACCACTGACCATAGCTGGCTCTGGTTAGCTTGTGAGATCCCAGACAGAGGTTTTAGGTGGCGGGCACTGTTCCCGGGGTTAACAGCTATCAGAGAATGGTCAGGGGTACAGGCGAGGGGTGTGTCAGTGGGTTTCTCAGTCCCTACAGCCAGGAAGAGCTCTGGGCACACCATGTCAAAACACAGCACAGCCCTGGCCGGTTTGGCTCAGCGGTTGGAGCGTTGGCCTGCGGACCAGGAGTCCTGGGTTCGGTTCCCGCTAGGGGCACGTACCAAAACAAAACAAAGCAAAAA